CTGGGAGAACCGGGTTTGATTCCCCACTCCTCCACTTGCACCTGACTGGATGACCTTGGGCAAGCCACAGTTCTGATAAGAGCTGTCCTTGGAAAAGAGCCGTTTCTGCCAGAGCTCCCTCAGCCCCACCTACCTCACAATGTGTCTGTTGGGAGGGGAAGGGAGAGGAGTTTGTAAGCCGCTCTGAGACACCTTTGGCTAGTGAAGGGCAAGGGGAATAAATACAATCTCTTCTTCATCATCCAGCCAGGTGCAAGTGGAGGAGGAGTGGGGAATCAAACCCGGTTCTCCCAGATTAGAGTCCGCGCACTTAGCCACTACACCAAACTGGAGTTTGCAAGCCCTTCTGAAACTCTGAGTGAAGGGCAGGATATAAGTCCAACCACTCCTTCTTCGTGTGCTCTGCCGAGAGCCAGCGAAGCCCCCTGTGTGGCTTAAGCTCTGATGCGCTGTTGCAAAGGACCTATTGGGTGCACCTGTTGTCAGAGCCTGAGTGGCGCTCGGCACTGGAGGCAGGCGGCAGGAGGGACCGCTTTCCCTCTCGGCTGTTGGGAAGGCAGAAGCCGTAGAAGCTGCCCGGCTGAGTGACGCGGAGTGTAGCGCCAGCCGACAAGGGTGGTGGGCGAGCCCCTTCTCTCCGCCAGGCCAGTGGGCTTGATGGGCCGAGGGTCTGGCCGGGCATCGGGCGGCTTCCCACGCCCGCGGTGTGCCCAGAAGATGCTGCTGCAGCAGCAGTGATCAGGGGTGTGCCCGCCGTGCCCTTCAGAAGTGACTGGAGCCCCTGAAGGAGCAGGGAGAGGCGTTGCCCGGCGGGACAGTGTGTAGTCCCCCCGCCTCCTGGACTCTGGGGGTGCCGGCAGAGAAGGGAGGGAGTGGGCGGGGGGCCCCCAGCCACTCTGTCACGAGGGAAAGCTTTTCTGTTGGCAGCTGGACACAGAAGGACAAGCGCCTCCCAGGGGCTCCGAGGTCTGAATGAGGCCCTCAACCCAAGCCCGTGGGCAGGGAGGGGAAGCCGGAAGGTCAGGGGCGCGGAACGTTGACCCTCCCGAGAGTCGGCAGGCCCCGAGAAGGGCCGGTCCGTTCCTAGTCAGGGTGGCCGGGAGCTCCTCCCGTGCAGGAACTCTAGTCACGACTGGTGGCCGGTGCACTGCCACTCCACACCCTGAGAAGAGCGTGAAGCCCAGTCCGCTCTTCTCGGGTCTCTGGATGCACAAAGGGAGCTTTGGTAGAGCAGCTCTCCTCCCCGTCTCACTGGCACAAGGGCCACGAGATCTACGCAGCGCCTGCTGTCCCCGGGGCCCGCTTAGTGAAAGCACCGGAGCGCGGAGCCTCGGCTGTGGTGGAGCAGCCCGCGGGTGGCCGAGCGGTGCGCCGCCTTGGGGACCCTGAGTGGGTGGAAAGGTGGCATAGAAATGTTCTAAAGAACCAAGTTGAATAAGTAACCCTTGTTGCCTGGGTGGGGGTGGAGGCCCTGGGTTCGAGACGTCTCCCTCACCCCTGCTTGTCCCCTCCCTCAGGTGTACAGTGCCGACGGAGAGTTCCTCTTTAAATTTGGCTCTCACGGCGAGGGGAACGGGCAGTTCAATGCCCCGACGGGTGTGGCCGTGGACTCCAACGGGAACATCATCGTGGCCGATTGGGGCAACAGCCGGATTCAGGTATTGTGTAACAAACAAGGGCAATGCAGTATATGTAGCATACTCAATCTGAAACATACCGTAATGAAGGAATACACACATTGTGTTCAGTGTAGTATGTGCACAGGGGTCTATTCTGTTTTAAATTACAAGACTACTCTTATTAGAGAGCCAGTTTGGTGTAGTGGTTAAGTGTGCGGACTCCAATCTGGGAGAACCGGGTTTGATTCCCCACTCCTCCACTTGCACCTGCTGATGTGACCTTGGGTCAGTCACAAGCTCTGGCACAGCTGTTCCTCAAAGAGCAGTTTGTGTCAGAGCTCTCTCAGCCCCACCCACCTCACAGGGTGTCTGTTGTGTGGAGGGGAAGGGAAAGGAGTTTGTAAGCCGCTCTGAGACTCCAAGTGAAAAGCGGGGTATAAATCCAATCTCTTCTTCTATTAACTATTTTTTTAAAAGATACAGTGCAAGTACAAGTTGAATTTAAACATAATTGCAGAAAACCTCTTATTAAGTATTCTTTAAAGATGCAGTACAAATGTCTTCGGACAGTGCTGGCTCTTCGGCTTTGAAACGGAGATGAGCACCGCAACCCTAGAGTCAGACTCGACTGGCTTTCAAGCAAGGGAACCTTTACCTTTACTAAAGATGCAGTACAAATCCATATTGAATTTAAACATCTAAAGCTAAACCACAGCACATGGGGTTAACCAGGTGGCGTTAACCCCAGCAGCAGAAGTCCCACGTAAATCTCCGTTTCGACCCTTCATCGGGCCGTAATTGTATGGTAAAGCTGCAATAAAAATTACAGAAATTGAGCATGATATACGTTCATATTGAATACAGGTTGTAATCATATGGTAAAGTTTCAGCAAAAAGTAAACATTCTATACATTCATATTAAATGCAATTATCAGAATAACTCTCGTACGGGAGCCTGGAGACAAATTAAATGAAGCTGGACTAAGTGATGCTCTGTCTTCTTGGTGCTTGGGGGGGGGTCAACAGTGGGAGGGGGCTCCTAGTGTCCTGGCCCCACTGCTGGACCTCCTGATGGCCCCTGGTATTTCTGGCCACTGTGTGATACAGAGTGTTGGCCTGGATGGGCCTTTGGCCCGATCCAACATTGGCGTCTCTTATGTTCTTACGTTGGACGTGCCTGAGCGCCTTCCTCCCATCCCACCAGCATTTAAGACCGTAACTCAGCCAGGTTGGCATTGTAGTGAAGTGCGTGGACTCTAATCTGGGAGGACTGGGTTTGATTCCCCACTCCTCCTCCACTTGCACCTGGGTGGGTGACTTTGGGCAAGCCGTAGTTCTGACAAGAGCTGTCCTTGAAAAAGAGCCGTCTCTGTCAGAGCTCTCTCAGCCCCACCCGCCTCACAGGGGGGGTGTCTGTTGTGGGGAGGGGGAGGGAGAGGAGTTTGTGAGCCGCTCTGGGACTCCTCTGGGTAGTGAAGGGCCATGGGGCATAGATCCAATCTCTTCTCTCTCTCCTTCTTCTAACTGCTTGTTCAGGAGGAAATGATTGTATGCCTGAACGCCTGTCACTGAGCCGGACTCCCTGATGTCAGGTCTTCCCTCGCCCCCGGGGGAAGGGGTGGAAGGAGCTGACCCAGGGACGTGCCCAAGCGCTTCTCCTCTCTCCCCAACTGCACTCCACCACTCAGGCATTGCGGCAAGCTTTAAAGGAAAATTATTTGGAATTATCACCCATTTAATTTCATAGGAAGCTTTGGAGGTTCCCACAAAAACATCACTCCTGGTTTTGGGCTGGGCTGGAGGCTCAGCTGGTGCTGCCCTTTGGCCGCTTGTCCCTGGGGGGGGGGAGGTATGAAGGTGGGTCTAAGGGGCCCCGGGGGGGGACCAGGAGGGTGGCCAGTGGCGTCACGCAGAGCCGTGGTGGAGGGGCCACCGGCCTCTTGCCAGAGCCGAGGAGCCGTGCCCGCATCTTGGGGTGGCCAGTGTCGTGAGGGGAGGTGCTGTGGCTCAGCGGAAGGTCCCAGGTTCAGTCGCTGCCATCTCCAGTCAGGAGCGGGTGGCAGGTGGCTTAAAAGGCAGCGCTGATGTTGATCCACCAAGAGGGTCAGATTCAGTATGAAGCAGCTCCCTGCGTTCCAAGTCCGTGTGTGTGTGTGTGTGTGTGTGTGTGTGTGTGTGTGTGTGTGTGAGCGGAGAAGGCCCTTTCCTTGGTCAGGAGGCCAATCCTCCTGACCCTGAAGTCAGTCCAGGGACCACAGCTCCCAAGCCCAGGGTGTTGGCACCTTGCCCGTCACGTCCAAGGAAGGCCTTGGGGGAGGAGGGCACCGCCAAGGACATGCCTCCGAGGGGGAGGGCCCCAGTCACGGTGGGAGATTCAGTCCTTAGACACGTAGATAGCTGGGGTTGGGATGGGTGCGCGGGGAACGTCCCGGTGCGAAGGTGGTGGACATCACCCGCCCATCTAGGTAGCTTGGTTGGTAGTGCTGGGGAGGAGCCCGTGCCCGGGGTGCCCGTTGGCACCAGTGAGGTGAGGAACTCTAGTGGGGAGCAGTGTTCCCTCTAAGCTGAATTAGTGTGAGCTAGCTCACAGTTTTTTAGCCTCTGGCCCACACGTTTTTGTCTGCGCTCAGGAAAGAGGGCTCCAGAGCAAACTGATTTATGCAGCAGCCAAATTGCTCACTCACAACTTTAATGCCAGTCACTCACAAAGTAGAATTTTTGCTTACGAGACTCTACGGCTTAGAGGGAACATTGGTGGGGAGGTGCTGGAAGCCAAATTTAGGTAGAGAGACTAGAACCCAGGCCCTCCAAGGCAGCCGTTTCCGAAATGTTACCTGTTCCGGGCGTAGGGCCAGTGAGACAGGCGCACGTGGGGAGTCTCCATGCACTCCAGCCGGAAGCGGTGGGGGAGTTGGGGGGCTTGGTTTTACGGGAAAACGTAGCTGTAGTAAGCACAGCAGAACAGAAGAGAAGCCGTGCTGGGTCAGACCAGTGGCCCATCCAGCCCAACGCTCTGTGCAAGGGAGAGAGCCAGTGCGGTGTGGTCATCCCTGGACATGCCAGGGGGAGGGCATGCCGGAGGAGGTGTCGCTGGGCGTGGCAAGGAGGGCGTGGGGGTCTGGCAAACAAGAAAACTTTACGATGGGGGGGGGAGTCCTCCTCCGCAGAATCGCTGTGGGTGGCCACACCAGGCCTGGAAAGTGATTTAGTATTGGGGGGGATGTGCTTCCAGCCCACTGACCAAAAGCTCTGGGTTGTCTTGAGATGGAAAATGAGTTTGGGGAGGGGGAGTTGTAACGATGGGCATCTTTAGCTGCCCGCCTGTCGACTGGGCAAACGTGTGTCCCAGTCAGGTACCCGAACGGATTGTGCCCTGGAACAGCCGGTCATCGAACCGACCGGGGGGGGGGACTTAGTCCTCGGTCGTGCTGCCCAGGACCATGGTGCCAGATGTGGGGGCGGTTGAACCAAGACGCTCAGCCTTGCAGACACCCCAATGGCCATAGGGGTATTCGCATGTACCCCTTCCTCCCCTCTGCCCCTTTTCCAGCCTTTTGAAGTGGGGTGACCAGAATTTTACAGGGTGTTCCGGATGCTCCCCACCCATCCACCAGCCTCCCTCCCCCCAGTCCTGGCCCCCAGCAGCAGCAGTGAAAATACGAACATAAGAGAAGCCCGTGTTGGATCAGGCCAGTGGCCCATCCAGTCCGACACTCTGTGTCACAAAGTGGCCAAAAATACCCACCCACCACTTCCTGTGGCAGTGAATTCCATGTGTTAATCACTCTTTGGGTGAAGAAGTACTTCCTTTTATCCGTTCTAACCTGACCGCTCTGCAGTTTCATGGAGTGCCCACGAGTTCTTGTATTGTGAGAAAGGGAGAAAAGTACCTCTTTCTTTACCTGCTCTTTCCCATGCATAATCTTATAAACCTCGATCATGTCACCCCTCAGTCGTCTTTTCTCCAAGCTAAAGAGCCCTAAGCGCTTTAACCTTTCCTCATAGGGAAAGTGTTCCAACCCTTTTATCATTCGAGTTGCCCTTTTCTGCACTTTTTCCAAAGCTATAATATCCTTTTGTGAGGTGTGGTGCCCAGAACTGCACACAGTATTCCAAATGAGGTCTTACCATTGATTTATATAGGGGCATTATTATATTGGCTGATCTGTTTTCAGTTCCCTTACTAATAATTCCCAGCAAAGCGGTGGCCTTTTTAATTGCAGTCGCTCACTGTCTCGACCTTTTCATTGAGTTATCTACCAGGACTCCAAGATCCCTCTCCTGGTCAGTCTCCGCCAGGTGGTGGGGCGAGGGACGGGTGGGGCGTGTGCCCCCCCCGGGGGGTCTTGCCACTGCCACTCACGGCCGGCCCTCCTTCCTCTCTCCCCAGGTCTTCGACAGTTCCGGTTCCTTCCTGTCCTACATCAACACCACAGCAGACCCCCTCTACGGGCCCCAGGGCCTGGCCCTCACCTCTGATGGACACGTGGTGGTGGCCGATTCGGGGAACCACTGTTTCAAAGCCTACCGATACCTGCAGTAATTGTGGGGGGGGGGCGGGCAGCGGGGGGCAGGTGGGCGGCGGT